TAATATTATGGAAATAAATAAACAAATAAGAGAGAAAGAAAAAGACCTAGTGAAAAACCCAAAGAATGAAGATATCCTCCAACAAATAAAGAATTTACAAGCCCACCTATCAAATTTAATAAATAGGGAAGTAGAGAAAAAAAATATATGGATGAAACAAAGATATTTTGAACAGGCAAATAAACCGGGTAGGATGCTGGCATGGTTTATCAAAGAAAGACAGGTAGAAAGAGTAATAAATAGAATTATTGACGAAGAAAAGGAAATCATTGACCCAAAACAAATTAAATAAAGTTTTATAAAATATTACAAAAAATTATATAAAGTAGAATTAAAAGAGGAAAAGAAAATTCAAAAATACCTATCAGAAAATAGACTACCAGATATAGAAGAAGAAGAATATGCGATATTAAATTCAAATATTGAACTTGAAGAGATTAAAAAAGTGATTAAAAATATGAAGGAGGGGAAATCGCCTGGACCAGACGGAATCTCAGTAACATATTATAAAAAATTAGAGGAAATAATAACACCCAAATTGCAATTAATTATGAATGAAATTTTAGACAAAGGAGAAATACCTAACTCGTGGCAAGAAGCATTAATAACCTGTCAGGGAACTGACATCAGAGCGAGAGGCGAAGGGGAGGCTCCTGGATGATGCTGGAGAAGGACCCAGCAGCAGGGGGAGAGGCGACTCAGTGGAGGGGGAAGCATTTAAGCGCAACACCAGGAACAAAAGTGAGCAGATGGGAAAATCGGAGAGAGGGCTCACGGACTCTTCACTGGAACTCAGTGAGGAGGGGACAGGTCCCCGCTACCCACGCCCACCCTGCGCAGAAGGCTCCCGCGCAGTGAGAGGCGGAGGCGATTGGGTGTCAAACAGCTCTTATGTTGGAAGAGATTCAAGAAACGCCCACTGACGGATTCTGCTAGTGACTGAGACAGTCCTGATCAGAAGGGGCTGTGCAGTCAGAAAGGTTTAACAAGGCAAATCAGCCTAGAGAGGCACCAGTTTACGCACGAGTAACTCATACTCATTACATAACCCTTATCCCAAAGCAAGGTACAGATTTGAGACTTATAAAAAACTACAGGCCAATATCTTTATTGAATATAGACTATAAAATATTTACTGGAGTCCTTGCAAATAGAATGAAAACTCTGCTAAAAAGGATAATTAAAAAGATCAGGCAGGATTTTTACCAGCCAGACAAATAAAGGACAACACTAGAATAATTATAGACTTAATAGAATATGCCGAAATGAATCCAAGTAAAGAAATTTCAATGCTTTTAGTAGACGCTGAAAAGGCATTTGACAGTGTCTCTTGGAAATTTATGATCAAAACATGTGAAAGCTTAAATTTAGGTAAAAGTTTTATGAATGGAATTCAAGCAATCTACAAAAAACAAACAGCTAAATTAATCCTAAACAATGAAATTACAGAAGAATTCGACATTGAGAGAGGGACGCGACAGGGATGTCCTTTATCCCCACTCCTATTTATAACAATATTAGAAACTCTATTAATAGCTCTGAGAAAGGATGAAGAAATAAAGGGCATATGTCTTGGGACACAGTGTTATAAAGTAAGAGCATTTGCAGACGATGTGATCATTACAACCGAAACACCAAAAGAAAGTATAAATAAAGCATTGGAAGGAATGAAAGAATTTGGTGAAGTAGCAGGATTCAAATTGAACAAAGATAAATCGAAATTGATAACTAAAAATATAGGCGAGAAAGGAAAAAAGGAATTAGAAGAAATAACAGGACTAAAAATAGAAAATAAAGTGAACTACTTAGGGATATGGATTACAAATAAAAATACAAATTTATTTAAGGATAATTATATTAAAAAATGGAAAGAAATTAAAGGAAGTATGGACAAATGGGGAAAATTAAAACTATCATTAGGAGGAAGAATATCTATGATTAAAATGATGATACTCCCCCAAATTCTATTTTTATTCCAAACAATTCCAATTGTAATAGGAACTAAATATTTTATAAGCTGGCAAAGAGACCTTGCAAATTTTATATGGCAGGGGGAAAAAGCAAAGATAAAATCAGAAGTAATGATGGGCCCAAAAGAAAGTGGAGGATTCGCAGTGCCAGATTTAAGGAAGTATTTTGAGGCAGCGTGTTGGTGCTGGATAAAAAAATGGATATTATTAAAAGATAATGAAGTCCTAACATTAGAGGGCTGGGACAAAATATATGGATGGCACGGCTACTTATTCTATGATAAAAAAGAACAACACAAAAAATTTACAAACCACATAGTAAGAAAGGCTCTATTGGATGTCTGGGAAAGAATAAAAGGAAAAATTATTGAGAAAATTCCCCAATGGATTTCGCCAGTGGAAGCAACTACAACATTAAAGAGTAATGTAAAAGAGACTTGGCCAACATATAGGGAAATATTAGAGGAAGCAGATGGAAATATTAAATTAAAAACTTACGAACAATTACAAACATTTAGAATAAATTGGTTACAATATTATCAATTAAAAGCAACTTATGAAAAAGACATAAAAAGGGGGGGATTTGAAAATAAAACCTCAAAATTAGAAAAGGAAATACTACAGAGCGATCAAAAAATACTTGCAAAAATGTATAGACTATTAACGAAAACCACTCTAGAAAAAGAGACGAAAGGGGGAAACATGTTAAAATGGGAGCACGATTTGGGATATGAGATAGATCTGGAAAGATGGAAAACTTTTTGGAAGGAAAATCTAAATTTTACTGCTTGTGATTTATTAAGGGAGAATTTCAGAAAAATGCACCACAGATGGTACCTAACCGAAGAGTCGGACATGACTAAACGACTAAACAACAACAACAACAAAGGTATCTGAAAGGCACAAAAGATTACAAACTGGTGCTGGATACAGGATATGATCAGCAAGTGTATGCATACGCTGATGCCAGCTGGGGGGACAAAGAAAATGGAAAGTCTACCATTGGTTATGCCATATATATTGGAAATGCCCTGGTTCAGTGGAAATCCCAGAAACAAACATTTGTTGCCACAAGTACTTGTGAAGCAGAGTACGCAGCCATAAGTGAATGTGTGTCACAAATAGAGTGGTTTGCTTGCCCAACAAAAGAGTTTGGAATACCTTCTGAAATGCCAATCACTGTGCTCAGTGACAACATAGCTGCACAACAGCTTGCTAACCAACAGAACTTTAAGAGCAAAAGCAAACATATTGCTATAAGATACGGAAATGCTTTGGAAAGAAATGTGTTAAAGGTACAGCACTGTAACACAGAATGTAATGTGGCAGATTTGTATACAAAATGTTTGGATGCTCCTAAATTTCGAGACTTAAGAGAATTATTAGGTCTCAAGCCTTTGACTTAAGGAGGAGTGTTGGGATTCACAGGATGCTGTGTAAGTAAGTCTGCAGGCTTCAGTTTGCAACAGGCTGATGCAATACTCTCTGTGGAATGACTCAGCAGTAATGTGATTCGCTGTCACCAGTTTAAAAGAAAAGCCTGTTCAACAGTAATTGTGGTAGATGAGTGTGGAGTCTTCTTTTGCCTCAAGGTGCAGGTACTCTGTCTGAACTGCTTCTGTAGATATTTGTATATATTTAGCTCACAATAATAAATACTGCACTAAAGAACCTGGGACTCTGAGCATTCTGCTAAAAGCGCCGTGAGGAATTCGCGACACGGGGCTCATCCACCTGGGAAGTGAGCCCATCTCGGAGAAGGAAAACTCTGGTCCTAAACCTCTGCTGCCTTGTGAAACATCTTCGGGAGAAGGAAAGGCTCAGGAGTCAACCCTACACCAGTCCCTAAGGTGGCTGGATGGTGTTTTCCTTTGGACCCCCATCAGTGAGGCTGGGAGGTGGGTCTTGTCATCTGGGTGACCCATGACCTCCATGCGCACTGCCCAGGCTTACACTTGGGTGCTGCTAGCACAGCGGTTTGACTTCAACCACAGAGGCGGACTGCATTGTCTCTTGAGAGACAGATGCCAACACAGGTGACTTTTCTGACCATCTTCCCACCAACCACGTCCACGCCATGCAGCTGAAGCCCAGAGATAATATTTAATCTTTTAAAAATAAACAAACCAACAAACCTGAACCAACCATATACATTAAATTCTTAAATCAGGTACTGGGAATCTTTGGCCCTCCATTTGTTACTGTACTCCAACTCCCATCAGCCTCAGCAAGCATAACCAATGGCCAGGGACAAGGGTCAGCAAACTTTTTCAGCAGGGGGCTGGTCCACTGTCCCTCAGACCTTGTGGGGGGCCAGACTATATTTTTTTGGGGGGGGATGAACGAATTCCTATGCCCTGCAAATAACCCTGAAATAATCTGAAATGATTTATTGCTCAGAGAAGTAAGTATGGTGTCCAGCGCGCTTCGGCTGTAGCAGGCCTCTGCTTCGCAGCACGCATTCCAAAGGCATTCCAAAGCTGAGCAAAACAGCAGAGTCTAGCAGCGGTCAGAAAATAGGCCTTCTGTCTTCCGGGTTGGCTCGCCCGATATGGCGGACAGGAGTTCTTTCGCAGAAAGGGCACCGGCGCTTTGAAGACGGGGAGAGCCGCTAGAGCGCAGCGGCGCCCCGAAAAACCCTCAGATCAAGTGTTCTGAGGACCTGGAGTTCCTGCAAGTGCCGGGAATGACTCCCCTGTTCCCCGGTAAGCTCTGAAAAAGAGTGCCAAGTGTGAGCGGGGTTGGAGGCGGTGGCACAAGGGAATCAACTTGCTTTCTTCAAAGAGCGAAGCTCTGAGTCTGGCGATCGTGAGCGGCCAATTCCTCCAAGTAAAAAAAAACAGAAATGTGGACTTAATTCTTCTGAAAACCGTGAGTAAAGCGATCTAATTTGGAACTACAAATTGGGAAGGAAAGGGATTTAAAAACAGAGGTCGGTCCCTTCCACTGAAGCAAAAGTGAAAAGCAGCTAACGTTACCAAAAGCCGCAACTTTAACTTCATTCTTTTAGAAACTTTCAGGTGTTTCCTGCACCCTGTGCTGGTCCCGGGGGTAAGGTACCTTGGGTGTAGCAGAGTCCACACGAAGAGGGGCAAGGTCCGAGGCAGAGAGCCGGGCGGGGAACAGGAGTGCTGGAACAGGAGGCTGTGCAGGGAACAGGAACACCGGATGGTCGGGAACAGGAGGCCGAGCAGGGAACAGGAGTACCGGATAGTCAGGAACAGGAAGCCGAGCAGGGATCAGGAACACAGGAAGGTCCGAAGCCAACAACGACGTTGCTCCCGCAACCTGGGGCCGGGCTGACTGGGCTTTTATCCTCTTCTAAGGCCAGGGCCGGTCCCGGTCCCCAGGAGCCCCGCCTCCTCTGGCCTTAAGGCGAGCACTCCTCCTGGGGGCAACCAGTTCCCTTCGCCTCTCTGCCCTAAGCCTCTGCAGATCAGGAGAGGCCGAAGGGTTACTGGGCCCTGGAGGAGGCTCACCTGTGGCCACTGAGTCATCAAGCCCCTCTGGGGCCCGAAGGGCTTCACCTGGGGCCAGCTCCTGATGCACTGCCACAGGTGCAGGCTCTTCAGCATCAAGGCCTTGCCCCAGTTCAGCCGGCCCTGGAGGCGGGGACTCCTGTGCAGGCCGGGATTCCTCTGTTTCATCCTCCGAATCGGAATCCCAGGCCATCACACCATCCCCTCCCAGGCCCCCTCAACCGAGGGTCCGGACCCGGCTTGCCGGGATACGTCGCATGGAACTCTCGGAGGCAGGCAGGTGCATGGACATTGGCCGCTGGTTCCCAGGAACGGTCCTCCGGTCCGTACCCCTTCCAGTCAATGAGATACTGCAGCTTTCCCTGCGGTATCGGGAGTCCAGGATGCGTTCCACCTCGTACTCAGGCTCCCCGAACCAACACTGGCTGCGGTCGGGGACGGTTCTGGTGGAACTCGTCGGGTGGGGCCACCGGACTCAAAAAGGGACCTGTGGAAGACCGGGTGAACCTTCAGGGTTGCGGGTAACCGGAGACGGAATGCCACAGGAGAGATTTGGTCTACGATAGGGAACGGGCCGGTGAAGCGGGCGTCCAACTTCCGCGAAGGTCGAGAGGGGTGGAGGTGGCGAGTGGAGAGCCAAACCAGGTCACCGACGCGAGTTCCGGCCCCACCTGGCGGTGGCGGTCGGCCTGGGCTTTGTACGCTTCCTTGGCCTGGTGCAGTTGCTCCACCAAAAGCTGTTGCTGGGACTGGAGCTCTTGAAGCCACTCCGTCACCGCCGGGACCGCGGATGCCGGCAGCACCTCTGGAAACAGCCGTGGATGATAACCATAACTGGCCTGGAACGGGGTCTGCTGGGTGGACGCATTCACCGCGTTGTTATAGGCGAACTCCGCCAATGCCAGGTGGTCGACCCAGTCATCCTGCTGGTAGCTGCAGTAACACCGGAGGTACTGCTCCAGCACCGCGCTCGCCCGCTCCGCCTGGCCATCGGTCTGTGGGTGGTAGGCTGACGAGAGGCAGACCTCTGTCCCGAGGGTCTGGTGTAATGCTCGCCAGAACCGGGATGTGAACTGAACGCCCCGGTCGGACACCACGCGCTCAGGTAGTCCATGCAGGCGGAAGACATGCTGAAAGGTACAGCTGAGCAGTTTCCTTGGCTGTGGGTACAGATGGACAGGGAGCGCAGTGCACCATCTTGGTGAAATGGTCGGAGAAAACCAGAAGGCAGGTACAGCCACGAGACGAGGGTAAGTCCACTACAAAGTCCAACGAAACTGTGTGCCAAGGGCGCGGTGGAACTGGCAATGGCTGAAGTAGGCCGGGGGTCGCCCGGTAGGCCCCTTGGCGCGTCGGCAGACATCACAACCAGCAACGTAGCGAGCCACGTCAGCCTTCAGGCGGGGCCACCAAAACTCACGACTGACCAGATGGGTGGTCCGATACCGTCCAAAGTGCCCCGCTGCCGGGGCATCATGGGCCATCCGGAGAACCTCCAGCCGCAGTGGCCCTGGCGGGATGTACAGACGACCGTGGTGCAGCAGGAGGCCCTGATGCAGGACCAGCCCCGGATACTGTGGGCTGGACCCTTCAGCCAGCTCCCGGAGTCGCTCCTGGGCCCAAGCGCCGACCCGCTGCTGTTCCCGCACCCGAACCTGCAGTGGCTGCGCCTCCTGGGTGGCCAGGAATGCGGCCGGAGGTAGGATCGTGGCGGGTTCTGCTTGCTGTACCGTGTCTGCGTTGTCTTCAGGTTTCCGGGACAGGGCATCCGCCTTCAGATTCTGAGAGCTAGGGATGTAGCGGATCCGAAACTGGAACCGGGAAAAGAACAACGCCCACCGGATCTGTCTTTGGTTCAGCTTGCGGGTGGTCTGGAGATACTCCAGGTTCCGGTGGTCGGTTCTTACCTCCACCGGATGTCGTGCCCCCTCAAGATGGTGGCGCCAGACCTCAAAGGCTACCTTGATGGCCAGTAGTTCCCGCTCCCACACAGTATAGTTACGCTCCGCTGGTAGGAGCTGGCGGGAATAGAAGGCACAGGGTAAGAGTGGCGCTCGGGCCCAATCTGTTGAGACAAGACGGCACCGAGAGCCGTACTGGAGGCGTCGGTCTCCACCACAAAGGGTCGAGAGGGGTCAGGATGTTGTAAGATTGGTGCCCTCTGGAAACAGGCCTTCAACCCCTGAAACGCCTCCTCTGCCTCCTTGTCCCAGGAAAACGGCGTCTTTGGGCGCAGTAGCCGGGTCAGCGGGGTGGTGCGATGGAGCATAATCAGCGATGAAGGTCCGGTAGTAATTGGCGAACCCCAGGAAACGTTGTAGGTCCTTGCGGTTCCGGGGTGCCGCCCATTCTTGAACCGCTGTCACCTTCCCCGGGTCCATTTGCACCCCATCCGGAGAGAGCCGGTGACCAAGGAAGTCCACAGACCGCTGATGGAACTCGCACTTGCTGAGCTTTGCGTACAAACGGTGCTCACGCAAGCGCTGCAGCACGGTCCGGACATGTCCCTCATGGCGAGCCGGGTCACGGGAGTAAATCAGTATGTCATCCAAATACACCACCACGTACTTGTCTAACAAGTCCTGAAACACGTGGCTGATGTAGCGTTGGAACACAGCAGGCGCGTTGCACAACCCGAAAGGCATAACCAAATATTCGAACTGCCCGTACCGGGTCCCAAACGCTGTCTTCCACTCCTCCCCGGCTCGGATCCGAATCAAGGTGGAGGCCCCCCGGAGGTCCAGCTTGGTGAACACCTGTGCCCCTTGCACCCGCTCCAGCAGCTCCGAGATAAGGGGCAAGGGGTATCGGTCTGGGACGGTAATTTTGTTCAAGGCTCGGTAATCATGGCAAGGGCGGAGTTCTGTTGGAATTATTTACACCGGACAAGAGGGTACACAGAGACTGAACATGGAGCCCGGCACGCTTCCGTTGCGGAACTCTGCAAGCTATCCGTGCCTCCTGCAAAAATCCTCCTCAGGCCTCTTTCTCTTGCCGGTAGCAGAGCGAAACACAGCGGTGAGAAGCAGAGTGCAGCACGTGTGGAATAAATCAGTCCAGACACAAGGCAGTCCTTATCTACTCTTGCCTTTTAATCATGAAGAATAACATCATAAATTCAGACCTGGCGAGAACTGACACATTCTCCCTTTCGCATCACGTCCGAAAGTCAGACTGAAACACACGGAGTCAAACCCCTCCCTTAAGTGTTTCTAACCACGCCTCAGGAAAGAGACGTCACCAGAACTCTTTAACTCTGTGAGTTCTGAAACCATTCACACCCCCTCTCGTCACGAATCCTGAGGGGAAACTGTGAACCCCTATTTACAGACCTCTTTGAGTTCAACTCACCTCCCATTGCCTTTTGCCTCCCACTGGCATCCATCCCAGGCAATTGTTGAATCCCTTCCACACTCCCAGAATCACACTGTGCGAAACCAACCCACGCACTGGTGACCTGAAACCTCTCCGGTGGAATCCCCTTTGTGGTCCGAGTTGACCGCCGGAGCACAACCTCAGGCGCTCCTCCTGACCCACTGGGGTCAGCAAGTGTGTCTCCAGCAAGCTCAGAAGACTCCCCCTCTGACTTGCTGCGTCTTCGGGCTTCCTGCACTTGGCTAACAGGAGATGAAGGCTCACTCTTGGGTTCCCTCTTAACCTGTGGAGAAACCCACCCCTGTGCTTGACCATCATCAGCAACCTGGTCTTCAGCAACAGGCTCCGCCTCTGCCTCTCCTTCCTCCCTTTCTTCCTCCTTTTCCTCCCCCTCAGAATCGGACAAGCAGTCTGAGAGAAAATCAGAACCATACCTAGGCTGTGACCAACCATCCTGCTCAAAGAACTCAGCATGCTTGCTGACCAGCAGCGTGGTCTGATCACCCTCTGGGTATGCAAACTTCCACCCATTTGTTGCAGGATCATACCCACAGAAGATCATGTCCTGGTACCTAGGACCATCCTTCTTCCGTTGCGCTGTTGGTATTGGCACTGAAGCCTTGGAACCAAACGAACGGAAGAAATGCACCTGTGGCTTCCTCTTGTGCAACAGAAAATACGGTGTGTCACCTACATCGTGATTGTAGGACCTGTTAAAAACAAAGTTGGCAGCTTTCCAAGCTTCACTCCAAAAGCTCTGAGGCAGCCCAGAGTCACCCAGCAAAACTCTGACAGCTTCAGCCAGTGTTTCACTCCTGTGCTGTGCCACGCCTCTCCTGGAGGAGACTTTGCACCCGTCACGTGGTGACGTATTCCTTTTTCCTTGAAAAACTCCTCCAGAGCAGACCCAGTAAACTGTGACCCTCGGTCGCTCTTGAACCCTTGCACCCTGGTGGAAAACCTTCGTTCCACCTCCGCAACCCAATCCTGGATCAGTTGCGCCGCCTCCCCCTGTGATTTGAGAGAGAAACACCAGCCAACCTGGCTGTGGTCATCTGTCAGCGATAGCACATACTTGGCCCCACCCAGACTCTCACACCTCATGGGTCCTGACAGATCTGTGTGAATCAACTCAAAGGTTTTGTGGTTACCCTCTTTACCCCGGGAAACCTGCACCTTTGAACCTTGCTGCATGCCCTGCACACTAGGGATCTCTCACATGGTGTGATTTTACATCCTTCGGTGCAGCCTGGCAGCCTCTTAACATCCTCCAGACAAGCATGAGACATTCTCTTGTGCCATACATGAACACATGAATCATGGCTGGGAACACTAGCACACTGCGCCTGTGCTTTCCCTGCATTCCCACCACCCTCCAGAGGTGTTTCCAGAACAAAGAGATTGTCCTTGCTCTCCACGTTGACAAGTTGCCTCCCCCTCTGAAAATGGAACAGGTGTTATTTTCAAAACAAATTTTGTATCCCTGCTTCGCCAGAGCAGAAACCGATAACAGGCAACACTTCATCCCTGGTACAATGAAGCACTCCAGCTCAGCCTGCAAAACAGAATTATAGACATTTGCCACTTTAGATACATTTCGTTTTTTTCCGTCAGCAAATTTACAAGTCATTCCAGTTAAAACAGCCCTGCAATTCTGCAGCTCCCCAGCAGATGGCGTTATCAGGTGATGACTCGCTCCTGAGTCCAGCACCCACTTCATAGTTGTGTCCCTGCTGGCATTGTTGTTCAAAGTTGCCAGAGAAGCCGCGAGATGATAACAGTCTCCCTTCTCTGAGTCACGTCCCTCCTTCGCGTTCCCACGCTGGCCTCCTCTCCGAGACTGGTTCCCATGAGAACTCAGCTGGTTGACCTTGGAGACATCCTGCCCGGCCTCTCTGCTCTTCTGCGGACAAGCCCGTTTTAGATGGCTGTTGGATCCACAGACATAACATCGACGAGTGGAAAAAGCCTGAACACAGCTCTCATCTGGCTTGCCCCCCACCTCTGCAACCGGTGGAGCTGCCTGCGCCAGACCTGCCTTCTCGGACACGCCTCTCCTGTTCGTCCGAAAGACGCCCTGTCACGTACGATAGCGTCAAATCCTGTGGACTCATCGATTCCATAGACAGACACAAATTGTCATAACTTTTGTCCAGAGAGCTGAGCAAAATATAAACCTTCAGCTCTTCTGAAAAGTTGACCTGTAACAGGCGCAACTCATTGAAAACAGAAAGCATCTCAGTAACATGCTGTCTGATGTTCCCACCGGGACGCAGCTTCATCTCAAATAAGCGTCTGGTGGTGTGGATCTTTGCACCAGCCGTGGTTCTGTGGTGCACCCTCTCAAGGGCTTGGTAGGCCTCCTGAGCAGTCTCAAGCCCTTCAACCAGAGGAAGTTGGGAACCCTCCAAACTGAGCACTATAGCTCCCAGGGCTTTCTGGTTTTTCCTCTGCGACGCGTGAGCAGCCGCTATGTCCGCTGCTGCTGCTCCTGCTGCAGGTGGTGGGAGAGGGGGCCCCTGGGTCGCCTCCCACAACCCCTTGGCTACCAGCCAGGCCTTTAGCTTCCGGCTCCATTCGGCCCAATTTTGTCCATTTAATTTCTCAAAGGGAACTGAGAATGATTCACGATCGTCTGCCATCTCCTCCCGGGGGCTAAGCTTACTCACGTCTCCCGGCAGTAGCTTCTCCGCCTCCCGGCTCCGGCAGATCGCTTCTCCCCAGCGAGCTCCTTCCAGCTTCAAAGACACAGCTCCAGAGCTCCAGCTGGACCCCAGCAACTTTCCTGCTGGCTTCCCCACACGTGGGACGTTCCTGCAATGCTTCAAAGCTTTGGCGAGCTTCCATAACCTGTTGGAATTATTTACACCGGACAAGAGGGTACACAGAGACTGAACATGGAGCCCGGCACGCTTCCGTTGCGGAACTCTGCAAGCTATCCGTGCCTCCTGCAAAAATCCTCCTCAGGCCTCTTTCTCTTGCCGGTAGCAGAGCGAAACACAGCGGTGAGAAGCAGAGTGCAGCACGTGTGGAATAAATCAGTCCAGACACAAGGCAGTCCTTATCTACTCTTGCCTTTTAATCATGAAGAATAACATCATAAATTCAGACCTGGCGAGAACTGACACATTCTCCCTTTCGCATCACGTCCGAAAGTCAGACTGAAACTCACGGAGTCAAACCCCTCCCTTAAGTGTTTCTAACCACGCCTCAGGAAAGAGACGTCACCAGAACTCTTTAACTCTGTGAGTTCTGAAACATTTCTTCTTAACGAAAAGCACTGGTGCCGCGGTAGGCGAGGTGGACGGCCTAATGAACCCACGCTCCAGGTTCTTGCGCAAGAAGTCCTGCAAAGCCTCGCGCTCTGGCTCTGTTAGAGAATATAAGCGACTCACTGGTAGAGGCGCTCCGGGTTGGAGGTCTATGCCGCAGTCAAAGGCCGATGCGGCGGCAGCTGGTCTGCCCCCGTTCCTCGAACACGTCCTGGTAGTCCTGATACACGGCTGGGAGCGTGGGTGCTGCCTCCTCTGAAGGCGCGGCCGCCAGCGTCCCGGATTGAGCATGGGAACATGGGTCTGGGAAGTGCACGGTCCGTTTGACCCAGTGAATCTGAACGTTGTGGGCTTCCAGCCAGTCCATCCCGAGCACCAGGGGAAGCGGGGCATAGAGGCAATGTCCAAAGTTCGCAACTCCCGGTGCTGCTGGAAACACAGGACCAGGGGCTGGGTCTCCTGAGTAACGGCACCTGAACACAGAAGTCGTCCGTCAATCGCTTCCACCTGGACCGGTACTGGCTTGTTCCAAGTGGCACCTGATGATGGGCGGCAAAAGCAGCGTCCATATAAGAGCGGGTTGCCCCTGAATCCACCAAAGCATGGGTGGGGATCCAGGGCCCACCTGGAGGGTATAAACGTACCGGAACCATAAGATGTTGCGAGTCCATTGATGCAGGCCCATTCTGCGCGGTTTGGGACCCCCGGCAGCTAGGGCCATCAGCTACTGGGGTTGGCGGTTTCCCTGCGGCTGGCGTTTCTCAGGGCAAGACCGAGCGAAGTGTCCACTTCCGCCACAGTAAAGACAGAGATTTCCCTCCCGACGCCGCGCCTTCTCTGCGGGGAAAGGCGTGGCCGCACTGCCCCGAGCTGCATAGGCTCCTCCGTTAAATCAGTTGTGACCGTGGGGCTGCCGGAAAAGCTGGTGCCGTGAACTGGAAGTGTCGGCGACCCCGGGCCTGACGACGATCCTCCAACCGGTCGTCTATTTGTAGACTCCGTTGAATGAGAGTGCCTAGCGTGGTGGGGCGTTCCATTGTGGCCAACTGGTCCAGTACCTCGTCCGAAAGCCCTTCGAGATACTGGTCCCGCAGTGCCGAATCATTCCAGGTCAAGTCCTGTGCCAACAGCCGAAACTCCGTGGTATATGCGGCCACCGTGGACTTGCCCTGTTTCAAACGCCGAATCGCCCGGTTGGCTTGACTCCCTTTCTGGGGGTTGCCGAACGCGGCCTCCAAACGATTGCAAAACCCCGTATAGTCTGCCAGCAAGGGGAGTCTTGCCTGAGTAGCGGCAACGCCCACTTGGCCGCCTGGTCCTTTAACAAACTAATCAAAAAGTGCACCTTGGTGCGGTCGTCAGGAAAGTTCCGGGCTCGCCCCTGAATATACAGCTTGGCCTGGGCCAGGAACATGGGAAAGCTGGCCGGGGCTCCATCAAATTTCTCAGGCAAAGCCACTGGGTACTTGCCAGGAGCCGGGCGTCGGCCCCAGGAGCCGGTAGGGCTTCCAAGCGTTGTTGAAGTGCCACAACCGCGTCACTGAGCTGCTGCACGGTGTGAGTCAAGGCCTGGTTCTTCTGGGCCAAAGCCACCAGTGCAGCCGCCTGGTCAGCCATGGCCTCTGGCTCTTCCCGAACGCACCCCTACGAAGGGGGAGTGCGGGTTTGGCGGGAGCAAACTGTGCTGGTCCCGGGGTAAGGTACCTTGGGTGTAGCAGAGTCCACACGAAGAGGGGCAAGGTCCGAGGCAGAGAGCCGGGCGGGGAACAGGAGTGCTGGAACAGGAGGCTGTGCAGGGAACAGGAACACCGGATGGTCGGGAACAGGAGGCCGAGCAGGGAACAGGAGTACCGGATAGTCAGGAACAGGAAGCCGAGCAGGGATCAGGAACACAGGAAGGTCCGAGCCAACAACGACGTTGCTCCCGCAACCTGGGGCCGGGCTGACTGGGCTTTTATCCTCTTCTAAGGCCAGGGGCGGTCCCGGTCCCCAGGAGCCCCGCCTCCTCTGGCCTTAAGGCGAGCACTCCTCCTGGGGGCAACCAGTTCCCTTCGCCTCTCTGCCCTAAGCCTCTGCAGATCAGGAGAGGCCGAAGGGTTACTGGGCCCTGGAGGAGGCTCACCTGTGGCCACTGAGTCATCAAGCCCCTCTGGGGCCCGAAGGGCTTCACCTGGGGCCAGCTCCTGATGCACTGCCACAGGTGCAGGCTCTTCAGCATCAAGGCCTTGCCCCAGTTCAGCCGGCCCTGGAGGCGGGGACTCCTGTGCAGGCCGGGATTCCTCTGTTTCATCCTCCGAATCGGAATCCCAGGCCATCACACACCCCCTTTCTAGCAGGGGGAAGGGAGGGAGACAAAAAGTAAACTTCCCTGCAGAAGAATTGGGGATCTGTTTGAACTGTTATATCTTCTTTGTGGAAGCAGACCTCCCGGGGTGAGGGAAGGCTAGATGCCATTGTGATGTAACAAAGGGATTGGATACTTTCAACTTTCGTTTACCGCTTTGGAAAAATACAAAGTAACTACAAGTGCCAGACGCAGGTGGCGCTGTGGGTAAAACCTCAGCGCCTAGGGCTTGCCGATCGCATGGTCAGCGGTTCGAATCCCCACGGCGGGGTGAGCTCCTGTCTTTCGGTCCCAGCTCCTGCCCACCTAGCAGTTCGAAAGCACCCCTAAGTGCAAGTAGTTAAATAGGTACCGCTTTATAACGGGAAGGTAAATGGCGTTTCCCTGTGCTGCGCTGGTGCCGGCTCGCCAGAACAGCTTCGTCACACTGGCCACGTGACCCGAAAGTGTCTCCGGACAGCGCTGGCCCCTGGCCTCTTAAGTGAGATGGGCGCACAACCCTAGAGTCGGACACGACTGGCCTGTACGGGCAGGGGTACCTTTACCTTTACCTTACAGCTGCCAGAGCTCAAAAAATATTTGGAATTGTATCTCCACCTTCTGCTACTAAGCCAAAGGATTGAAACAAACTTTTGGGGATTTGATTAAAGGAGTAAATATAAAGATTTCTAAAGACTTGTATTTGTCAGATTGAAAGACTGTGGCGAGGAAAGACTTTTACTTTGGAGTGGGGATTACTGCAGCTGGGAAACAGTCTGTTTATCCTATTATCTCCCCCTTGTGACTGTAGCTGACCGGGGGGGGGGGACTATGGATGGGGGAGACAAAGGAGACAAGACAGAAATGTCAGAGATTAGAGAGGGCAAAAATTAAACCAAGAAGAGACTCTAGAACACCAACATTTGAAGAATCAGTAATGCAACTTCTTCAGGAAATTAAAACAGAAGTAAGAGGGAATCAAAAAACTATTGAAGAATTGAGGAATGACTTTTCTGAATTGAAAGAGGACCTGAAGACAGTGAGGTCTGATATTACTTCACATGAGGAAAGAATTTCACAACTGGAAACGGTAAAGGTCTGGGACTTAGAGACTGTCCAGCAGCAGGCGTTAAATTCAATTGCGTTTTTGGAATTAAAGCAGAAGGAGGCCCATTTGAGATTGAGAGGGGTAGTCCAGAAGGAACAGGACAATTTGAAGGGTTGGCTTATTGAAGAATTTTCAGCTTATTGGGAGATCTCAAAAGAAGAATTAAATTTGTGGATTGACAAAGCATACAGATTTGGTCCTAAAAAGGATTCTAAAATCACACATGATTGCATGGCGATTTTTAAAACAAAGGAACAAAGAGACACGATATTGGGACACCACTATAAAAAAAATCTAAAGGTAGATGGGAAAGCTGTCATTCTCTTCAAGGAGGTCCCACAGCATTTTTTATCTTTGAGAAATAATTATACAGATCTGGCAACTGCCCTAAGGAAGAAAAATATCTTCTTTAGGTGGGAATTCCCAGAGGGCCTCTCCTTCAAATTCCAAGGGAGGAAACAAAAAATCAGAACTGTTGGAGAGAAGGAGAGATTTCTGGAGAAAAACGCAAAAGAACTTGGTTTGGAAAGTTCCCCTCCTTTGGGTGCTGGGGCCGAAGGGCCCTAAAAAATTAAGATGTCTTTAAGAATTTACTCCTGGAATGTTAATGGCTTAAATTGGCCAAAAAAAAAAAGAGGCCAAGTCTTTCATATCTTGGCAAGACATAATTTGGATATAATTTGCTTGCAAGAAACACATGTTACAAGATTGCATAGAAAAAATTTACAGAATAAAAAACTTGGTCAGGACTTTATCTCATCAGACAAAGTTAAAAAAAAAAGGGAGTGGTTTTTTATGTTAAAGAAAAATGGAACCCCAAGTTGTTTAAGGATGAGGAAGGAAGATACATTGCCGTGGAAATTGCAGCACAAGGTGATAAATATCTTTTATTGGGAATTTATGCACCAAATGATGGAAAAGTAGAATTTTTCAGAAATTTGGATTTTAAACTTAATGATTACTTGGAATATAAAATAATACTAATGGGAGATTTGAATGGGGTAGTCTCCACATTTATGGAGAAATCACAAGAGCAGAAAGTGCAAAATGCAGGCAGACTTCCAAAATTGTTCTTTGATATGGTAGACAAATATGAACTGTCAGACATATGGAGACTACAAAATCCTATAAAGACTATACTTTT